GCCTGGGAGCTGGGGGGGGAGGGACAGCTGTGGGGTGGGGGCCATGGCACAGTCCCACACACAGTGTGGGGCAGTGGGGAGCAGTAGGAATTGCTCCCACACCTGGCAGCACCCAGTGAGTGGGGGCTTTTTTTTTGTTTTTTTTTAAAGATCCGGGAGCTGGGCAGGGAGGGCATCGGCCCAGCTTCCTGCTGCAGCGAGCGGGGACTGCCCAAATAGCAGAAGCTCTCCAAATCTATTCAGAGAGCTTTGAATTGATTCAGACCTTTTAACTGGTCCCCTGATTCGATTCAGCTTTGGAAATTTGGCCACAGAATTGGGCCAAATCTTCTCCAAATCGAATCAGCACCGAAAGCTTTGCACAGCCCTACTGCCTAGCAAAGTTGAGGACTTTCCATCACTGGAGGTATTCAAGAAGAGGTTGGACAGCCATTGGCTGGGCATGATCTACATGTATGTATGCCTATTTTCTACCATGGGCATTTTCCATGCTTCAGCTCTTTGCTGGCTGCCCCTGCTCCCTCTCCCTTTTCTACTACTTGTGTCAAGGTGTTTTTAAGTTTTCCCAGAGCCATTGGATGTCAACTACAGCCAAGGATGGGGACTTTGCCTGGGATGTGCCATTGCTTCTACTAGGACCAAAGCTGGAGATTTCTGGCTCGAGGGGTCGACTGATTGCCATATTCATGGTCAGGTAGGAATTTTACCCCATGGCCAATCTGCTATGTGCTGTGGGTTTTTTGTTGTTGTTGTTTTGTTTTCCTCTGTAGCAGAAGACATGTCACTCTACCCAGGTTCTTTTGCACAAATCTTGAAAACATTTTATAGAAGCAGGACATTGCTGACATAGTCCTCCTACTTCACCTGTGGCAGCCTAGGGCATTAGCTCTATGTTAGGTCAGGGTTGATGATAGTCTTATGTAGAGTTCAGATTATGGTTTCTATGGGATGGTTAGAATAGGGATGAATCTCAGACAAAGGGTTGGACTAGTTGACCTATGGTGGTTCCTTCCAGCCCTACTTCTCTGTTTTCTATGAATTTGAGCCAACAAACTTGAATCTATGCCTCACCCATTTCACACTAGTGAAGTTCCATTAAATTCCATACAGTCACTCTTAATTTACATTTAAGTGAGAAAAAATTAGGCACGCAGATTATGTGATTTATGTTTCTTTTTATAACTACTTCTTGATTATTTGTTTATAGCCATTACCACATTCTCCCATTATTCCCTCCTCCACCTGTTCTCTAGGTCATGATACTGCAAATACTGCTTGGAGTAAAGCACATGCATAAGCATTTACAAGATTGAGGCTAATTAACTTGCCCATACTGTTATGCTTAGGCAGCTCTCCAGCTTCACATTTGAAGAGAGGCACACATGGAGCAGCACTTTTTGTCAGCATTGTGCTGCTTATTGTCACAGGAATGCTGAGATAAAAGGATGTCAGTTGAGCCCCTCCATAACCATCTTTATATGTGCTATTACAGCCATCCTATGTCACCTTCATGACCCTAGTAACAAACTGAATCCCTCTACATGCTCGCAACTACAGAAAATGCAAATATTCTTATACTTGTGTCTCCTTTGATTTACAAAAAGTTTTAATACGAATCAGTACCCACATGCTCTATACGTCATCATTCTTCACTTTAAATAGCATACTAACCTAATGTACTGATGTATTTATATTTCCTCATTATTTTATGATAGGTAGATGAAGAAGAGTAGTTCTCAAGAAGTATAAATAATCACTCACATTTTTATATTAAAGTTATAGGAGATGGGTTCTTGGAAAATTCACCACTTGTAATTGTGTGCGCAAAGTACATTTATACTATGTGATGAAACTTACTTTTGGCAGCATAATTATTCCTATATTAAATATTTTTTTTTCCAGTTGTGATGCAACTTAACACTTGTTCTCATTTTAGCTCTTTAACCTCAAGGGAACCCTGCCTACCTTTTACACAGCTGTAACCCACTGAATTCAGACAGCTGAACTTTTATGTTTCAGATACCTGGATTTGATTAATAGAAAATCTGAAGAGAATACAATAGATCAAAGGGTCACTCAAGCCTACATGGCCTTGAGGGGGTTCAAAACCATATCTTCCACCTCCTCAGAGTACTCTAACTTCTATTCCCTGGCTGGGAGAGAGGGACATCACTGTCCACTACCATTTATGTTTGGATCTCTATGACTGCACAGAAAAGAATTCAAGACTCATTGAGTCAAAAGAGATGGAGGGACATGACTATAGCTTATTGGTCACCTGAGACAGGAGGTTCTGTTCTTGTTCCCAGGACTGTTTACATATTATGCCACGAAAATGGCCAATCGAGTAAAAACCCCACAGACCGAAGAGAAAATAAATTGGTGTTTCCCACTAGGCTACTTCTTTAAAAAAAATAAGCCCTGCTCCATTTTTTAACAAAAATGGTTGGAGGCACTTACTCTAACTGGCTTGGGACTCTCTTTCCCTCAGTGTATAAAAAGCACCTGCCTTCAGCCCTTCCTTAGGCTCCTAAACTATGGAGGGAAGTGAGATTTCAGGATAAATCTCTCTCCTACATTTCCTAATAGGTTTGCTCTAACCAACATTCAGGTTTTTTGGATCATCATTCCAAGGTACTGGACTGTTTTTCTTTACTGTATTAGAAGCCTAGGTGCCTAATTTGGTTTCTAGATTCCAACAGGGTCAGGGGTCTATAGTCTTTATTAGAGACTTGGCTCTAAACGACTGCTTAAACTCACACAGGAAAACTAAAAAATCAGATCCCTCCACTATTGCCTAAGTACTGCTTCAGGCAGCTGATTTATTTGTAGGACTCAGCCTGTGAACTCAATGTCCCAAGATGCAGGCCTTTGTTTCTCATTTTGTAATCTGTGAAATGAGTTAAAATGCTTCCTTTTTCGGTCTCATCTACTCAGAGTATAAATATTTTCCAGGTATAGACTTTCTCTTAGTAGTAATTTGAATAGTTAGAAGGGGCACAGATCTCAGCTGAAGCTTCTAAGAATGACTAATGAAAATGAATAACAACTGCCTTCTGCCACAGTTATCAGTCTAACATAGGGGTGAGCAAAATATGGGATCTGGCCCATGGGTTGATGGTAGCAAAGTCATAGGTTCTGGGCCATAGATGGCTGGCAGTTCCATCTGCTGCATCATGCCAGGCATGCAGTCATTTCCATTCCCCATCCACAGCTTACACCAGCTCCTAGCAGGACCCAGCAGTGGGCACACTTGCCTCTTCTAGGACCCTTCTGCCTGGAGCCTGCACTAGGGCTGCCCAAGGCTCCTTCCTACCACTCTGTAGGCAGCAGCAGCAGGAAGGAGCCACAGGGAAGCCCCAACATGGACTCCAGGCAGTTGCAGCCAGAAGGGCCCCAGAAGTGGTGAGTGCACCTGCTGCCAGGTCCTGCTTTTGCCCGGCACCCAGCACCGGCCACCACTACTCACCATAGGCAGGACTGCCCCTCTATGTCTCTCCCTTCCCAATCACCCCTACCCCCAACACCTCCAACACAGCCCCAGAGGTTACACCACCTCCCGGATTCTGTGCTAGAAGCAGCACCAAGTGGGTGCCAGTTTCCTTCTGGGGTTGGGACATCTGTTTGAGCCCCTCCATGGGGTAGACGGGTGGGCCTGAGGCTAAATCTTATGAAACTGCCACCCCAGCTCTCTATCCCAACTCCCTTCCCACCCACAGCTCCATTCCACATTGGAAAGTTAGGTGAGCTGTTGTGGTGGGGGGGGAAGGAGGGACACTACCCCAGCCCATGACAGCTCCCCAAACCCCATATGTGGCCCACAGGCCTAAATAATTGCACATTGCTGGTAAAACATGTCATATTCATAGATTCATATATTGTAAGACTGAAAGGGACCTCTGAAGATCATTGGGTCCAGTCCTTTGTACCAAGCAGGAAAGATAACTGGGGGGGGGGGTCAAGTGACCCCAGCAAGGCAACTGCCTAAAAGGAGCTTTGATGCCATAAGTCTATATAAACTTATCAACCAAAAATAACTTGCAATAAACTAGCTCAGAATCAGTAAAATCAAAACATAAATAGCAGCACTCTTGACCTGCTTGGCCACCCATCACAATTCTTTACTTACGTAAGGTATCCCAATTGCTCTGTTCCTGTCTACTACTGCTTTCACTTCATCAAGAGATCCATAATTCCAGCGACTAATTTGGAATCCAAGGCTCCAGTATGAAGGCATTGAAGGCTGTCCTATTAGCTAAAAGTTAAGAAACAAAAAAGGAGGTACTGCATTTGTAGGTGTCACTTGTCAATCCAAAATTCATTAGTTCTGTCCTTCTCAAAAATGTATTACAAATTACTTTACACAAAAGGTGGGCACATAATCCTTATAACTGTTATGCTCATCGTCCTTCTTACTTCCATCTATTATATTTTATACATAATTCTTCCATCTTGTCTTAAGCTAAGTTAGATGTATGGTAAGGTTTGCTTTTATTAGATGTTTATATAGCACTTTTAATCCTTGATTTTGAAGTGTGTCTTTGGGCATTATCACAATGCAAACAGCAATAATTATTTGACAAACAAACCTGGCATACTGGGGAAGAACATCACAGTTTAAATCATAAAAACAAACTAGAGTGGAACAGAAGAAATGCCTCCACGGAGGAGGGAATTAAAAGTGTGTACAAGTATATGAGAAGTCAGGATTCAAGGAATCTCTTTATGTAAGTAAAGTCAAGTTAGTATAATTCACTACATTCAACTGTTGCAGTCTTCTTTCAGTTTCTGAAAGATAAATAATACTTCACTTTTAGATAATGTTTTTTATCAGTAAATCACAAGCCCTGTACAAAGAAACTCAGTGCAATTACTCCACTTAATAGAAGTAAAACTGAGGCTCAGAACAGTGAAGTGACTTGTCCAAGGTCAGAATCAGACTAGTGAGTGAGTTAAGATTAAAACCAAGTCCCTCAATCTATCCAAATGAAATGATAGAATAAGAAGTGCAACAGAAAAATGGCCTGGCTAGGCAGCAATCTCTTCAATCAGTTCAAACTCAAAAAGGAATTCTACAGAAAGTAGAAACTTGGCCATATTACTAGGGAAGACTTTAAGAGCCTTACACAGACATGCAATCGGAAAATTAGGAAGGCCAAAGCACAACTGAAGATGCAACTGTTAAGGGAAATAAAAAGAGATTGTACAAGTTTATCAAAAGAAAGAGGAAAACCAAAGAAAAGTAAGTCCCCCAAAATACAGAAGGCAATCTAGTCATAGATGATGCAGATGAGGCTGAGTTATTTAATGTTTGTTTTACTTCATTCTTCCCAAATAAAGTCAGCTACTAAAATGATTCATGCAGGAAAGATAGGAAAAGAGACAAACAGGCTGGAGTAGCGGAAGAACAGGCTAGGGATTATTTACAGAAGCTAGATGCTTTCAAGTCAGCAGGGCCAGATGGGATACGCCCTGGGTTACTGAAGAAATTGGCTGAAATCATTTCACAGTTACTGGCTATCCTCTTTGAGAACTCATGGAGGTGATTCACTGGATAATTTGAAACAGGCAAATACAGAGCCTCTCTTTAAGAAAGACAAAAAAGAAGATCCAAGGAATTATAGACCAGTCTATCTATGCTGATCTTGATATCTGGAAAGATCATAGAGCAGGTCCTCAAATAATCTATTTTGAAGCACCTAAAAGAGAACAAGGTTATCAGGAATAACCAGCATAAAATAACTAAGAGCACTTCATGACTGATGAACTTGATTTCCTTCTCTGATAAGGCACAAGGCTTTATGAATTGGGGGAGAGCAGTGGATGTGATTTACGTTTACTTCAGCGAGGCTTTTGCCGTTGTTGCCCACAGCGTTCTTATAAAGAAACTGAGGAAATACAGACTAATAAAAAAAATACTGTAAAGGTGGATAGGTAACTGGTTGGATCATCATGCTCTGCAAGTAGTCATCAGTGGCTCAAGATCTAGTTGGGAGGAGGTTTTGAGTGGGGTTTCCTGGGATTCTGTCCTGGGTCTTGTTAAACATCAATTAGGTGGGTGGTGGCATTGAGTGCACTCCTAGCAAATTTGTGGATGCCAGCAAGTTGGGTGGAATTGCAGACACTCTGAAGGGTAGGGTTAAGATCCAGAATGACCTTGATAAACTAGAGAAATGGTCCAAAAGTCAATCAGATGAAATCCAACAAGGACAAGTGCAAAATCCTGCACTTGGTACTGAATAATTGTCTGCACAATTATAGACTGGGGCAATGACTAGCTGGGTTGCAGTACTGCAGAGAAGAACCTGAGGGTTGTAAGCTGAGTATGAGCTGCAGGTATGTTCTTATTGCAAAAAAAGCATACTGAGCTGTCTTAAGAGGAATTTGTCTTGAAAAAAAATCAAGGGGAGTGATTCTTTTGCTTCATTTGGCACCGGTGAGGCCTCACTTGAAGTACAGTGTCCAGTTTTGGGCTCCACACTTCAAGAAAGATGTAGACTGATTGGAAGGAGCAGAGTAACAAACTTTATTAGGAGCTTTGGAAGCATGACTTTGAAAGAACTAGGGCCATTTCATCTAGTGAAGAGACGACTTAGGGAGCATTTAATAACAGTATTCAAATTAGTGAAAGGAGAGAGAGATTTTTCTCTACAGATGTAGGGGTACAGGACTAGAAGCAGTGGCCTTAAAACGGAAGAAGAGAAAATTTATTGTGCAGATTAGAAAGAACTTTCTGGCTATGAGGGTGATCAAGCTTTTGGACAGGCTACCTGGAAAAACTGTGGAATCTCTAACCCAGAAAATTCCCAAGAGCAGGTTAGACAGATACTTGGCTGGGACGGTATAGTCAGGGATGACTAAATTTAACAAGCACTTCAGCAAGGGCTTGAGCAGGGGGCTAGATTAGATGATTTCATGAGATCACTTCTAGCCCTTCTTCCCTGTGATCCTAGGAATCAGACCTGGGCTCCATGACCTAAATCACCTTGCCATTTTAAAACTAACAAAAGCATGTCATATTTCATGACATCTTTTCTTGCAAATGATGATGATCTGACTAAACAGAAATTTCAAAAAATAATGGCAGGCATGTTCCCGCACCAAAAATTACATTAGCATAACAAGAGGTTGAGAAGAGCACTGAAGATTTGTCATTGCTAATGGGATCTCTATTGTACAGGGGGAACATGCAAGCAAGCAAAGGGCAACTCTGTCTAGAAATTGATGCATGCTTCCTTTAAGCATCCATTAGAACATTTTATTGGACTAAAAAAAGAACAAATGTGAAATGACTGCTACTGATATTTTTCTAGCATAACCACAATTGTATCAGAAGCAATTTTACCTACTGTATAATTCTGCTGCAAAAAAGGCTGATCTTCAGCACAACAGTAGGCTTCAGTTAACTTAGTTCAAGTAAAAGCTGGCTACACCAAAAAACAATGTAAAAGCTATACAGATTGAGGCTAATCAGCAGTTTATCCAGTCAAGCTGCTGCAGCCTCACTGCATTAGGTACAGCAGCACTCAAGCTTCAACCCACCTCCACTTTAATGGGCAAAGTAACACGAGTATACAACTCTACTGAAGCAAAAGATGTGTCTGTATGGACAGGAGTCATATTAGGGAAAAACATTTAGTTACACCTCAAGCTGAAAGGTCAGTGAACACAAACTGTATTAAAGAGCCAAAGGAATATTCCAAAATCTATTTCACTGCATAACAAACATACCTTCAGATACTCCTGAACCACTTCTTCTGGAGTGTCTCCTAAGAAGACATAAAAATCTAGAACTCCACCAGTTGTTCTATAAGTTACTGCTGGGGCAGGCTGAAGAGTAAAATCTGCCAGAAAAGAAATTGTAAAGTAAATTTTGTACCTTAACTCCCCCCAAATATCTATGCTATATCCAGATTAAGAATAAGTGAATTAATTTGGAAGAAAATAAGGACATATTAAATCAGTAGTTAAGCTCAAACAAGGTTCTGAAGTTGTCAGATATCAGTCTCTTTCAATGTTAAGTTTTGTATACCTTTCCATCCCACAAAACAATCACTAGAAAGCCAATAAGGTTGCCTTCTTTCATGAGTTTTTTTCAGTATTGCTGCGTAGTCTCAAAAGACTTGGACAGTTCTCATAAGCAGATAAAATTAGTATGTTTATCTAATAGAAAACATATCTATACATAAACTGCTCCTTACCAATTTAGCTCTTAATCCTGCAGTGCAACAGTCAAGGTACTGAGATGAATGGAATTCAGGGACTATAACACCTGAGGTAGGGAGTAGGGCTGTGCAAAGCTTCGGACACTGATTTGATTTGGAGAGATTCGGCAGCCAAATTTCCGAATCTGAATCGAATCAGGAGACCCATCAATCTCTCCGAATTTGGAAGGATTCAATGATTTGGCCATAGACAAAGCTTTATATGTTTTTTTCTATATACCTCATGGTACCAGGTGTGACTTGTGAACACTGAGATGATGGGGTGGAAGAAGCATCCCATGGGAGCGCGGGTGGTCCCCCGCGCACTTGGCAGTGGACCGGAAGTAGTTCCTGTCCACTTCTGGGTCTACCACAGAGTACACAGGGGACTCCCGTCCCCCTCCCCCCGTTTGGCAACTGGTGCTTTCTGAGTCTGGGGGGTCACCTGGGGTACCCCTACAGCTGATTGCCAAGTCGGGAGGTGCGGGGGGGGGGTCCCCCACGCATTTGGCGGCTAACCTGGAAGTGGATACTTCCACTCCACTTCCAGGTCCACCACTGAACATGCAGGGGACCCCCCACGCTCCTGTGAGATTCTCCATCAGCCCTGCCATCTCAGTGCTCACAAACCATACCTGGTACCTTGAGGTATGTAGAAAAAACATATAAGGCTGTGTCTATGGCTGAATTGCTGAGTCTCCAAATCAGAATCGAATCTTCAGATTTGGCCAAATTAAATTGGGAAAGTGATCCGAATCAGTGAATAAAATCACTGTCCCCTAAATCAGGCTGAATCTGAATCAAATACTGCCTGCTTTGCACACCCCTACTAGAGAGCTGGTTGCATTAGTCATTGTTTCTTTGCATTAATTTAACCTTGATTAAATTTTACATTAAAAAAATCTGTCAGTAGCTGTTTAAGTTTATTCTAAAAAAACCCAAAAAATGGTTTAGTGCTTTTTTAGAAATCATACATATTTGTGGCGCACTCTAGGAGAATGATTGTAAAATATATTAAACGATATTACTTATAGAGATGTTTTCCTTACCCATGGCATTACTATTCATTAGAAAGACACCAAAAGAGGCTCCGGTATTATCTTCCAAACACAAAAAAAATGTTTGAGCTCCATACAAGTTATTCATGTCCTTAAAAGAAACAGCAAATTCAAAAACAGTAGATGATTATTATCCAGAAATGTTTTAAAAATGTGTCAGAGATGCAAATTTAAACAACTGAACATATGTACTTAACCACAATAAAAAAATTATTTTTTCCAGTGTTTATGATTTTTTTCCTCCCATATAGGGGAAGGTTTTCTATTCAGCCATACATGAAAACAGAGAATTGCTTAAAACAGGCAGACAGTGTAAATAGACATGATGAAGTAATGTCCTCTGTGCTAATTAAACTTGATACTCCACAAACCAACAAAAAAAATAAATAAAAATTGATGCTCTCTATGGGTCTGTGTATACAAGAGAACTATTTATTTTCAATTGCATTACCATTAAAAGAAAATGGAAAAAAAGCTCATGACTTAAGGGGACTGTAGACATTATTCCAATCACAATGTTACTTTCTTTGCATGATTAAGACATTGCACCATGTGCATGACTACAAGTGAATAGGGCAGGCTGTCACAAGTGCAGGGAGCTGGGGATACTCTGCCAGGCCACAGTGCAGTCCAGGTCTGCTAGGAAGCAGCAAGCAGTGACGGGAGTCTCTCCCCCTTGCTTGCTGCTGCCCATGAGATCTGGGCTGTGCTGTGGCCAGGCAGGATGTTCCCAGCTCCCTTCACTTGTGCTGGGAAATAATCGGGCAGAGGGGGGAAGGATTTCCCCTTCCCTTTCCCCTTCCATCCATGCTTGCTGCTACCTGGGATGCTTCAGCATGGCAGGGGTGTCCCTGCTCATCTGCTCTGTGTTTGCATATGGCAAGGGGTAGTATTTTTCCTGCTGGGTGCTGATGGGTAGGGGGAATGAACCTAGGACTCGGAACAATCCTGGGGCAGGGATTTCCTCCTTATTCTTTTTCAGAGAAGTTTACACTGGAGATGGAGCAATGCACTCTGGAATGCTGGAGGAGCAGCAGATTGCGGTCGCACAATGTATTCCTTGCCACAAGTACAAATTAAAGCTGGATAGGAACTAGCTATAAAACAGATAAACCCCCAAAATGTGCACTAACTTTATAACTGGTTGAAACTTTTAATAGCATGATAAGTGCTTTGCTGATGTAGCTGGTCTCAGTTAATTGTACAACAACTGAAACATGGAGAGGGGGCCTTACTGACACGTCACTAAACCAACATATAAGCTGTTTATTTCTAATACTGTAGTAGCAAATAATTAGCAGACAATTCTCCTTGTTCAAAAGAGTTATGGTACTGCTAACATAAATATATATTCACAAACAGAGCAAGAAGATTTTATTGTCCACATCCCCAAACAGGAGGGGCCATGCATGGGAATACAAGGTCAGAAACAGCAAGAAACAGAAAATGAGTATTTAAAAAACATATATATATATATTTTTAAATCAGCACCTCATGTTTTGTAAAACAGACTCTGCAGCATGGATAGTCTCTCAGGTCACCTATACATGAGCAGCAAGGCTGCTCCAATGTACTGTAATTGGAGCTTTTACAGAAGCATGGCAATTACCACACTTCAGCATCTCGTGTATCACTGTGCCTGCACTTAAAAATGGTGGCAGGGGGGCTTTAGTCCCCCCCACCATTTTTAGGCACAGGGACACTGATACACGAGACACTGGAGGCTGTTGGAGTGCGGTAATTGCCATGCTCCTGCAGACTCAATTAATCAAGTCTGCTCTGACATGCTATAATTACAGTGAGTCGAAGCAGTCTCACTGCTCATATATAGGTGCCTTGAGAGACTATCCATGCTGCAGAGTCTGTTTTATGTCCCCACCACCATTTTTAGGCACAGGGACACTGATACACGAGACACTGGAGTCTGTTGGAGTGCGGTAATTGCCATGCTCCTGCAGACTCAATTAATCAAGTCTGCTCTGACATGCTATAATTACAGTGAGTCGAAGCAGTCTCACTGCTCATATATAGGTGCCTTGAGAGACTATCCATGCTGCAGAGTCTGTTTTATAAAACATGAGGTGCTGATTCTATGAGCTTTAGTCAAAGCGTCCTCACCACCATTTTTAAATGCAGGGACACTGATACATGAGACTCTCCGGGCGCTTTAATTAGAGTGGCTTTTGTAGTGCTCCCTCCTGCCCCCCACCCTTGAGTACTTGTATAAATGCCCTCAGTTAACAAATCAATACGGTCAGGAAAATTAAAGTGCAATTTGTTTTTTTGCATGGCAGTGTCAGTGATGCTTGGAACTAAGGCCTAAAAGGATTCAAAATTACTATCAATAGTCCTTTCTGATAATTAATAGAAAATAGGTGCCCATGAAATCAGCTTGAAAACAGATACAGCCATTTGTCACTATCTGCTTAGCTTTCATTTTCATTACACTGTGAATGTATCTCTACTGTATTTGTCCGTAGCCCTGTATGCTCTTATGTTTTGTTTAGTAGTAGAAACTGAAAACTCTTAGGTATGTTTTTAACTGACCTGTCCAATGATCCTCAACATTTCAAACAACCATAACCATCAAAATATTTGCAAAAACTATTCTGCCAGGACCTTCCTTATTCCCCTGCTCCCATCTTGCTTCAGTAACGTCAGCAGCTTACAAGTCTTTAGTTAAAGCTTCACTAGGCATTGTTAATAAACAGCTTATGAAAAAGCATCCTATTCACTGTACAAGGCAAAAACTCCAATGTTTTTAAATCAGTTTAATTCCCCAAACCAACCCCTAATACAACATAATAAAACCACTCCTTACTCCAATGGGTGCAGCATCCCTGGTAAAGATGGGCCACGTTTTCCAGTTTACGTCATGTCGGTATTGCTTGTGCACATGTTCTCCTACCCCATAAATGTTGCTGCTGGGTAGCTTTATGGAGAGCTGCAAATACTGGTCAGCATACACAAGAGGTCCTATGCTTGTATTAAACCTGGTTAAACAATTTAAAACATTTTAAAAGATCTTACCATTGCTTTTGTGCAACACGACTGTCTCAAAGCCCTATGCTGTATGTTATAGCTAGCCTTGGCAGAATTCAGTTTAATTTTTTAATAATTTCAATGGCTAAAAAAAAAAAAAAAAAATCAATGTTTATTGTTCAGCATTTAATTTAGCTTTCTGTTGATTTAAATTATCAGGATGGTGCAAAAATAGGTTGGTTTTTTTTTAATTTTTATCCATTAAAATTTTAAGCATTGCAGGAAATTGCAGGGGGCAGACAATTTAGTAAATGACAGCATACATGTAAATGACAGGCTCAGGGGTGATCTGATGGCCACCTACAAGTTTATCAGGGGTGACCACCAGCATCTGGGGGAACGTTTGTTCACCAGAGCGCCCCAAGGGATGACGAGGTCAAATGGTCACAAACTCTTTCAAGATCATTTCAGGCTGGACATAAGGAAGAACTTCTTTACTGTCCGAGCCCCCAAGGTCTGGAACAGCCTGCCACCGGAGGTGGTTCAAGCGCCTACATTGAACACCTTCAAGATGAAACTGGATGCTTATCTTGCTGGGATCCTATGACCCCAGCTGACTTCCTGCCCTTTGGGCGGGGGGCTGGACTCGATGATCTTCCGAGGTCCCTTCCAGCCCTGATGTCTATGAAATCTATGAAATACTGTTACAGCTTTAAGAAAAATCACGTCAAAATATAAAAAGTAAATATCCATAAATCTACCAATCATACCTGCTTTAAATCATTCAGTTCACTCATCAAGAAAAAGCCAGGAAAAAGGGACCAGAAGAGGAGGACAGCAGCACACACAGAGCTCTGGGAACATGGGGAGAGGCAGTGGCCACTGTCAGGCCCCAGCACATAGCCAGACCAGCCGCAAGCAGAACCCAGCTGTGCCACCAGGCTGGAGTCCCAAATACTCTTCCACCTCCCCACCTCTGGGTTTTGAGTAGGGGTTTGTTTAAGTAGCCTGTTATCTCCCTCAAACCCGATTCTAGGCACCTGTAAATGAGCAGCTACTTGCTTAATTGATGAGTCATTAGGCTGCATCCAGCACCTAGTTGCTTGATTGACTATTAGGTCACCATTGTTTTCCTTTTTATCCCCTCCGCCCTCTGTTTCTCCATTTCTTTTTCTCCATTGTCCAGTATCAGGTGTAAGGGTTCCCTATTACAGTCTCCTTTCTATAAATTTTGACTATTACTGACGGAGATATTTTTCCGTCGGTCTCTGAGATGTTTATCACTAGAAGTCAAATTCTGCCAAGCCTAGTTATAACTCCATAAACACCCATGCATCATTTGCTCATTTTATGGTTTTTCTCTTGGATTCTCTTTTGTTTATAGCTGAACTGTTACATGCCAACATTAAGGAACAAAAGCAATATTTAACAAAGAGTACAAGTCTTGGTCACTAGGGGTTTTGCCACTAGCTCAATGTACATACAGGACATCATGTTTTTGTACTGCCTTAGGAACAGACTAGGAAACAGGCTGTAATTCCCCGAGTCTCAAAGAACTTCCATTTCTCTGTCTGGACTATGCATCTAGCCAGGCCAAAAAATGCAAGTATTGGAAAGTAATACATATAAGGCTGGGGCAAGCATCTAGGGATCAAGAATAACTGAAGAAAAATAAGTATAGGCGATTCCTCCTGGTAAACCTCTGTTTGATGAAGATAGCAATCTTTTTACTAACATGAGCTTCAGCTTGTAACCTGGCTGGTGCCTCAGGCCACTATTCTTTCCCAGTCACTCTAGGAATGGAGAGCAACCCTCCATGATGGCCAGAGCAGCTGGCTGGAATAGTACCATTAGCAAAACACACGCTGGATCAAACAGGTGGAAATCTGTGCACCCTCAGTAAAATGCAGATTTGACTGAATCTGGCCTGCAGAATGTAGGTTGCCAAGCCCTGCACTATCCAATTACCTGCATCTTGTACTAAGTAGGGCATCAGCCATCACAGTTCAGACCCTCAAAATCATAATTCCTACCATGGGACATGCTCCTAAAATATGGCAGATTACAAAATGACAATCTAATCTGCAATGTTTAAATTTTTCACATCCCATATGGATGTTTTTGTGTTTTAGCAATTTTTGGACAACACTAAGCAATTTATGAATTGCCAACATGCAAGGGGAGCTACACTGCATCAGGAAAGCTCTAAAACAGAAGAGGAGAAGGAAAATATTGCTTCATTTCTCCCCTTAATTCTAAAATTGACGTCATTAGCATGATGGAATGCAAATGACAGGGTGAAAGAGAGGATGCTTCCTTCTGGTAATTGCATATGAAATAGCAATGGAATGAGACTCTCCTGGAATAAGTCAATGCTGATACTCCTGGGCTTGCAAAAAAAGGAGGACTTTTCAGTTTTGAATTTCATTACTCATGAATCAGACAATGTTGGAATTATGCCATGGACCTCTGAGGTTACATCTTAGTAGTTCCAAGTAAGAAGTACAAGTTGAGAAGTCAGAGTGACTGCAACTGATGAACTTTTCTTTTGGCAGCTGAATTCCAACACTTCCCATAGCTATTCTACTATCCTGGGAATGGGGAATGATATTATGTGGTTGTAAATAACTGATCTTTCCATAAGGTCATGCTTGTCAGAACAGCCAAAAGGAACAAAATGAAAAAAAGAGACTCAAGGTATATTTGAGGAAAGAAATGACTTCTAGCATCCACCTATTCCACCTCAGCATGGAAGATTCTGTAATTCCTAAATTACCCTTGATGATTCCAGAGTTTATTTCATCTTGTTTTTTTATTAATTTTTCTTAAACTTTGCTGTTGTATTCCAAACAGTCTCCAGCTGGTCAGTTGTATAATGTTAAAAATATTGTGCCCAAACTGATTAAATGAATAGTGATCCAACTCATAAAAATATAGTAAAAAATATGAATATGTCTGCTCAGGGTGAGAGTTCAATTTAATGGCAACTTCCTAGGCTTCAAAATATGTACTCTTCCAAAAATCTGTTGAATGTTACTGACAAAATGAACCTGTTCTAAAATGGTGTGTGCGCATGATGGTAATGGCACTCACTTAGGTTATGGGGGCGATGAGGTTCAAGTGTCTGAATCTGAACATCGTTTTTCAATCCAAATCATTCTGAATCAGATGTAAGATGGACTCACATCTGGAATTAAATGATTCGTTTTAAATTTGTTGAAACTGACTTCTTTCCAAAAACAGCTTTGATTTCCATGAATCAGCAATTTCCAGTGAAACAACACTGCCGGGGGAAAAAACAAACAAACCCCATCCAGCTGTAGGAACACAATCATAAACACAGCTTAACTCTGCAGTTAAGCCAGATTTATGGCCGCTTTGCATCAGTGAAGCAACCCAAAGCTAATGGAGCATGTCAGTGAAATTGACCCTGAGTTTCTAAAGTTGCCTTCAGCTTTACAGAAATGAGGGTTCAAATAGGGCAGGAAGATATTTACCCTTTATTTTTGTCAAGTAGATAAAAAATACAATAGATTGAGTTGACAAACTATTAAGCTATGTTGGAGTACCATAGAGTTTCCAAGTTATCCCTTTGTGGCTATTCTCTTCACAGACTTCTAATGTTCCTGATCACAATCGCTTTTTCTTATGTTTTGTCTGCACTCAGTCTTTGTGCCAAATTTAACATGTTCAAAATGTGTTTAGGATGCAATTTTCTGCTAAACTAGTTAAACCAGTCATCTACTACAGACATAGTTAAACAGATATAAAGGTGCCTCTTAATGGTATAACGTATTCTGTTCCATTCTCCAGTAATAAGCACCTTTATACCACTACAATTGCATCTATGCTATTACCTGTAACTGGTGTGGCTAGAGCTGTACTGTTTTGTGTGTGCAGACTGGTTCTTGGACCGTTAAACAAACAAACTTAAGTGTTAGCAATTAAGCATTAACTATATTAAATGAGTCAGTACAATGGGCACAGTCCAGACTCGCTCCGATTTTGATTTTCGTATTTTTATCTCCACTCTAATATATCTGTATCTGTAGTAACAATATTTAGCAGTTATATAGGGCTTACATGACTGGATACTCTGCTCCACAGCTCTTGTGATTTCAGTGGGGATATGGTGCATGTGTTCATAGAGCTTTATAAATATTAACTAACAATACCATGGAAACCCAATAGCTGTTTTTCATTAAACTATTCCAATCATTTGGCCTAGGAAATTTCAGCCATTATCTAGGGTATTCTAAAAGCAGACAAACGTAGTTACTAGACTTACAAGCTAGCTTTGATGATTATTTGTTTTTTAAAGTAGGTTGCAAGACATATGTTAGTCCCTCTTCATTTTCCTTATCAAAGCAGATCTTATATTTACTTGAAATCAAGATAAGTTTTTTTCTCCTATTCATCATTGGGGGGAAAAAAACCCTACCTTATCTTAGATTCATTCAAATACAGATCAGGACAGATATCTGCTGTGGATTTGGTTCCAGTTCCAGCTCTGGCCCCAGCCCAGGGGAGACTGCATAGTAGTGGTGGGGAGGAGCATAGGGGAGGTACTACACTGGGAAGGGAGTGCAGGGAAGACCATGCAGTAGGAGTGGTAGAAATATGCAGTATACTGCAGGATGGGGGGAGTGTTAGGTGGTACTTTGTGGTGTGGGGCAGAGGGAGTCTGGGGGAAGACCACACAATGTACAGCCTAGAGGGTATGTAGAGATTCAACTGATTCAGTGGTGGTCGAATCTCTGAATCAGATACATCCGAATTGATTTGGGACAGTGATTCAAATCACCGAATTGAATTGCTGTCCCCTAAATCAGCTGAATCTGAATCCAAAGCAAATACTAGCTGCTTCACGCAGGCCTAGTATTTGCAGTAAATGCCATGGTTTGTAGGAAATTGGTGAAAGATGGAAGAAACATGTAAATTCTTTCTTCAGTGCATAGGACACTATAATTCATAAGATTTCTTTTTCTAAATCAGTTCTCCTGTACTAGAATATTTATTGTCCTCTTATGCCCCTATTTAAGAAGTCATGAACTATTGACTGAATATTAAAAACTTATCTATCTTGTAATTTATAGTGGTAAATTGATCACTATGGAGGATTTTAACTTCATTTACATAAACAATACTAATAATATCCTAGATTAATTATCAATGAATTAAACTTGAAGAGTTGATAACCTTAATTCATCCTAGCATTCTGACAGGTAATCATTATTTGATTGATTTAATAAGCTCATTAGCCATGATGTCTCCTGCCATTGGGTCTCAGTTTGGCAGTTAATTTAGTTTTCAAAAAACAAGGTGGATGAAAGTATATATATGAAAGGATACGTTGTATTTGAAGGCATAAAAATGTTAAATACTTTATTTATGGTTTCAGATGCACCAGCCTTCCCTGGTATCAGATATCAAAAGAGCAGTCTAATTTCATAATTTAAGAGTGTTAAGATATTGTTACAGGAACATTCCATAATCTCACAAGAAAAGGACCTCAAGAGATCATCTGGACCAGGACTGTTGAACTGGTGGCTAGTTGACCTTAAATTCTCCTGAATTATGAAACTTTTACAGATGCTCGTACACTGCCAGGAATACAAAAGAGAAACATAAAGGGATGTCAGCCATATTTGATTGCTTCACTTGTGGGTTCTGCACCAGGAGTAGGTTTACTGGACCCAAGAATAGTTCTGCCATTTCCTGTTTACATTCTCTTGCAAATATTTAAATATTTAGTATTAGTAAATGAGAACAATATGAATATCACGTGCATAGTGTCATAGTCCTACCAGAAATAACATTTCCATAAATTCAGCTGGAATTTTTCTCTTTAAACCAGTGTCATAATGAGTTTATGACCTGAAACTTTGGGCAAATATTATAGATTTGTTCAGAATAAGACTGTTCAACAGGAGAGCTCTAGAAAAATTAAACAGAATGAACCTCTTAAACTCTAAACCATGGCTATCTAATTCCTCCTCGGGATAAGACTGTAGAACTGCTGAGGACACAGCATGACTTAATAAATACTATTTTTATATTTTGCAATGAATTTCCTGATTTTTCCAGTTGCATGGATCTGTTGTCTGTACTTACAGCTTCCTCTCAAACAGAAAGGCTATTGTAGCACTACTTAGATTCGCTTTTTTTTTTTTCTATTTTGCCCTTTATACACTCAAAATTCTTAAGAAGTTAAGCTGAATATCCACAAAATCCAAAGCCAAAGAAAGCAGATAAGAAACAAATAATCTCTTTGTTTAAAACATTATTTGTGATCTAAAAAGGAAACAAAACTGTGTTCCTGAACTATTTTGTTTCTCTATGACAAAAAAGTATGGACAAGTAGCATTATGTTCAAGAGAAATTCTCTTTCAGCTAGGAAGGCCTGCTTTGGTGACTCACCAGGAATGTGACAGAGTTCCCAATCCCCTGTTACAACCTTTGAGGCCTATCAAAGCCCCGCTACAGAAAACCATTTAAGCATGTGCTTAACTTAAATTATCTGAATACAGGTTTCCCTCGATTTATGCGGGTTCTTTATATATGAATTTGCTTTTATGTGATGAACATATTTATACCCATAAGTCATTATATGCAAAATAAATGTGCTCTTATGCAATCAGCATTGACGCTCCCCACCCAAGCAGGTTAGTCTGTGGGGGGAAGGGTAAAGGGCCATGTCCCTACTCATCCCACCCCTGGCTGCAGCAGCCCCAGGAGCGGCCAACACAAGCTGCCTGTAACCAGTGGGCTGCACTGTGCCCTGCTGCAAGCAACTGGTATTGGCTGCTCATGGGGCCACTCTAGCATGGGCTGGGGTGAGTTCGGATAAGCAGAGCCCTGGGTGGCCCAGGGCATGGCACTCACCCCAGCCCCAGCTACAGCAGCCCCGGGAGTGGCCAACATCAGCTGCCTGTAGCCACTGGGCTGCACCATGCCCTGGTGCAAGCAGCTAGTGTTGGCTGCTCATGGGGCTGCTCCAGCTTGGGCTCAGTTGAGTTCAGACAAGCAGAGCCCTGGGTGGCCCAGGGCATGGCATTCACCCCAGCCCTGGATGCAGCAGCCCTGGGAGTGGCTGACACCAGCTGCCTGCACCAGGTCACAGTGCAGGCCAGTGGCTACAGGCAGCTGGCATCAGCCACTCCCAGGGCCCCTGCAGCTGGGGTGAGTGCCGCACTGTTTGCAATGCTTTGCTGCCTTGTGCAGCCCTGGGAGCAGCGCCCCTCTTCACGCCCCTTGCCTAGTCCCAGCCTCATTCCCTTTATGTGAATTCAATTTATTCGCCGTTACCTGGGTATGCATGTACAGCATAAATTGAGGGAAACCTATAGTCCCATTGAAGCCAAAGGGAAATTCATATAATTAAAACAAGTCATGTGCCTAAATGCTTTACTGGATGAGGGGCCAAGCCAGTAGTACCTGAAGCCAGTCAGGTGCAGCAATCACTGGGTTTAATGAAAACAATAAGGCATGAATGAAAAGAACTAAACAACTGCTTTTATTGTGGAGCAATAACTAAACCTGTCCATGACCTTTGTCTTTCTAACCAACTAGCAACTGTCTTACCCTAGGACATCTCCCAGTTCCTCAGTCTTCTATGTTAGGGAGCATCTATTGGGCAGGCTCAGCCCAGAGAAGGCCAGCAGCCTGGCATCAGCAGTGGTGGCCAGGCAGGTGGGTTAACCCTTCCCTGCCTGATCCTCTGGGGCAGAAAGCACAAGCACAAGTAAGCAGTGGTGGGGGCTAGAGGAAACCTATGGAACAGTGGGGGAAGCCCCTTGGGTGGGTAGAAGTGGGGGACTCTGGAGGGCAGAGCTGAAACCCAGAATAGGAGTGGGGATTCTTACCTTTCAGTCCGCCAGGCCTCTGCTGGCCTAAATAGGTGACTGCTCCAAATTTGAGCCAGCACTAACTTAGTGTACTGTGTAACAAGGCCTTAACACTACACTACTAGAGCGTCTATCACTATGTCAAAAACTAGCAATATAACAAACCCATGTTTACAAATATAAGAGTCTGTCATAATTTCATCTATAATCAGCGGTACTTAAAACAAATTATCTACAAATCAAAGTACTTAAATACTTGTATGGGCCCAGATTCATATTATTCCTCTCTCTAGTCAGAAAACTGCTTACTCTGCTGAGCAAACACCCTGTTACAAGGGGATGTTTTCCTAAACTGCCAATAACCTGTTACTCTATACTACCCTTTGCTCCATAACACCCTTGATAAAAAAATACACTCAGTCTCTTTAGAAGATTGTTATACTTTCCCCTCTGTCATGATAGGAAATAGCCTTTTTTTTTTTTTTTTTGCCGCCTCCACACAAGTCACACCCAGGAGAGAAATTGTAAACTGTTCTTGAGACATCTTCCAGATTGAGTTGTCTGGCACAACTACTTGATCACTCACTAAACATGAACTGGTACGTTGACCCAAGAATTAATTCATTTTACTGCAAGTCATATCACTACAGCATTTGGCAAAAAGAGTACTTCATCCATCTCTCTTCCAGCAACTAGGAGCAAAAAATGACCCTATCCTCTTCTGCTCTTCAAGCCTTCCATCAGATAAGTATCTTTCCCATTTACTGCTGTGTCTGTTTTCTCATTGGCAACAGCTCAAGGGGATTACTAAAATAATATTAAGTCTTATGGTCTGCCTGGCCACAGGAGAGAAAGATGGATAAGGAGCTGCAATGTGCAAGACAAGTTTATTTTCATAGCCTCTCAAAACCTGAACTGGTCATTGGAGAAGCCATTACCTTACTAGTTTGGTTTTGCACAGTAGGACCACCTTTTCCTAGAATATCCTTCCATTTAAAGTTAATACAGTTCAGAAGGCTGCACGTATTTTTGATAGCCACAGCCTGGGATGCTGCATACTCTTGCTCTTTGGTAAAGACCTTACTGCTTAATACTCGTTTCTCTACTGTTCAGCTTGTAGACATATTTGAAAACATCATTGGCTTTACATAAGTTGATGAATGTGAAAATCCTGGCTATGTATGTCAAAGGAAGCCTTGAAATCATGTATAAGTCCATGAATAGCGGTACATTTGTTCAGGCAAACCACTAAACTGACTAGACAGATGATGTATTTAATGGAACATAATTGCAAATAAATGCATGTAATATTAAAGATGTCTTCATACCCCCTTACCTGCACTTCTTGCCACTAAAACATAAGCTTGACAAGTACAAAACATGGAAAAAATTAGTATGGCAAACAAATCAGGTAAACGATCAAATTAGAGTATTAATTCCATCTCTGATATGCATTATTTCATGTTCTGATATGACCTTTTAAGGCGCACAGTTTGTTGCAATGTTACTTATAAAAGGTACAGAAGAGACTTACAGGGTTTTGCTGTTGCTTACTCTGGTCACTATGATGCCAAAAGGATTCTCAGCAATACTGACTTTGTACTTTAAAACAGATACTGCAGGTCCAGCAAAAGGTTTCACGTTCTCATGTGGGACTTCAAATCTTTTATTATTAGGATCTGTAATCTGCAGTTAAACAGTAAAAAGTCATTAAAAGCTTTGAAAATGTATTTCTACTCAGCTAGTAGAATATTTTCCTGAATCATGGTATATTTCTGAATTCAGACACACGCAAGTCAAAAGTATGTTTAGGCTGAAAAGTCAAGAATTTAAATGTTAAGGGATATCAGTATTAAGTCTGCTTGTACAACCTTAATTTGATTCCTTCTGCATGTGCATTACAAAACATTAATTTAATTATTTATTTGATATATTTACCACCCTTCTCCAAAAATATTCAGAGCAGCTTACAATAAAAGACAGTGGATATGGCAATCAATACAGTTCTTGATTAGATGTTTATATATCTATAAACATTCAATTTGAGTCTCCCTCTGAACTTTTCACAACTGTTTATAGTCCCTGTCCCTAGTTCACAGAATACAGGTCCATATTTTATTTCCTGTTCTCCAGCTCCTAGACCTCATCTTCCATGCTACTACACACTGGCCTCTTTATCTCAATGTATTCTTGGGGCTTCCACTGCCACTGCCTTCCACTTTCCCAGTCTACTTCTTCCCTCTCCTATATCTGAACAGTTCTTTCTCCACATTGCCTGAGCCCAGTTAGGGGAATATAAAGAGCACAGAAGAGGCATTTCTGCTTACAGTTCCAGTGCCTAGTCCCCTGAAAGCAGCAGTTGAAGGAAAGTTTGGCTCAGTATGCACAGTCCCAAAATGAAGTGTGCTCAGTATATATCTTCTGAATTGAATCTTTGAAAAGTTAATTGCCCAATTTGGATCTCAAATGCTGTGAATTTGGGTTCATGAAAGCTTGCACGTAAGCATCATTTACTTAGTCTATAAAGGAGCATATCTACCAGGGCTGTGTGAAAGAGCACCATTTTGTTTTGACTTCCATTTCACCATTTCGAAGGGACAGTGTTTCATGACGCTGTTTCGAAGCACTGTTGTGTTTCATTTAATTGAAACTGTTTTGCTGCTTTGATGCTTTTTCAATGCATTTCAACGTTTTGCCCATAGGCTATAATGGGGAATCATGAAAATGCCTATAACTTTGTCATTTCTTTCTTGATTCAAATGAAAACAGCAGGCATGACAGTCCCTGCTGAGGCCACGAAGCCTGCCAGTGCTTTTTATGCTATTTTTCTGTCCCTCTCCCAGAGCACTGGGATTGGAAGGGACCTCGGGGAAGGATCCCAATCTCTGGCCAGCTACACAGTCAATATGAGAGCAGTCCTTCCCCCTTTTCCCCCTTCCTCTCCTTACTTTGCATCCCTGCAAGCAAGCCTGGCTTTGAAACTTGAAATGTTTTGAAACTTTTGAAACATTTCGAGTGCCCTTGTTTCATTTTAAAGCTGTTTCAAAGCCTTTCATTTTGTTTAGATTTTGATGATTCGAGCTCAAAACACATTGAAACAACTTCAAAGTGGAACACCCATCAAAATTTCACACAGCCATAAGATCTACCCTGCCTTCTAACTAACTTCAGGCTAACACAGCTAACTACCTATCCCTGTATATGGTTAATGCCACTTACTATTTAAGAGGTGCCTCCAGCATTTTTAGCAATATCAAATACAGAAAGTTTAATATCTACAAGTAATCAAGACCTGGATTCAGGATCTCTTCCAAAAGATGATTCTCAGATTCAAGGTTTTGTTTCACAGCTGACTCAAAGGGTTAAAGGCAGACAGTTGCCTTTATCTTTAGAAGTCTCCTAAGTATTAATGAGGTTTGAGTCTCTGAAGACCAAGCATACCATTTTCAATGGCTGTTACCAATAAACAGAAGCATTTTTTACATGTGCTTATATTTTAGAACTTGTCTCATTTTAACACTTCTACAATTTATGCTTTGAGAATAAAGTGGGAATTTTCCATCTGTATCTCACCTTGACTTAATTTTTTTTTGGGATCTACTTCCCATTTCTTCACCTCAAATGAAATAGAAAATAAAGCAGGTGGTGACTTACATTGACTTGTGCTGGAAATTTCTGGGAAATTTCCATTATTACAAATCTTTCTGAGAGAGGATGTGTAAAGGTGTTCCAGGCGGCAGCTGCCCCCTCTCCTGCTCTCTGTACCTTTCCCACATCAGGGTCTGGGGAAGGCATAGGGAGTCCTGGCTATTCCACTCTTCTTTTCTCAGGGAAGACTAGGAAGGGACGGAGTGTCTTTCTAAAGGTCTGGAGTACCATTACCCCAGCCTCAGA